CGTTATAGTTTTTGTAATATACCAATACCTTGTCTCATCAGTTGTGAAGACTTGTTTTTAATACAGCTTATGATGCCTTTTCTTTTGAAAAGGAGAGAAGTCCTGGACTTTGTTACTTTGTTTGAGAACTCGTCCAGCTATAACTAGCACTCATGGAGAACTTTAAATTGCCATTGATGAGTAAGTTTTCATCCCTTTCAAGCCCAAGATCTACCACAATACAATCTAATCCATAGACTAACAAGAACCTGGTCCATAGGCTAAGGTGTAGAGACCTTTGTTGTATGTCACACATTTCCTTTCTATCCTACCCAATCTTTGCACTTGGAGATCGATAGAGATACATCTGCCAAGCCAGACTATCCAAGCAGATACTAGATGTACTTCCAAAGACTCATAATCTGTGGACTGTATATTCATGCTTGGAGTCAAGATGTACAAATGACTCTTTTGCCAAATGCAACATGAGTTTCCTCTAATGCACTCAACCGTACTGATCCCCGTTGGAGCTGAATGATGGTGCTTATGTGCGGGTAGATACATATGCATGGGAGTGGCATGGCGTTTTGTATGTGCTTGTCTGATCAGTAGATCTTTTATACCAAAAAGTTCTATCGAAAGTGATTTTCTGAATAGCTTCATGAGTTGAAATGCTTTCGTTCGCCGCAATTCTATGTTGAAGTATGCAAGGGCGATTTGAACGAGATCTGCAAATTTTCCGTTCACTTGCATATATTTCAAGAAGTACCCAACAATTCATTAACAAATGACTGACTTTACAATAGTTTTCTTTCCTTCTGGATACTCCTCCGTCTTGCACCACTGCTGAAGCCAATTGGCAAAACCGGGCGCGGAAAATTGGATTGTTGAGGTATGAAAAATAAACAACTTTTTATCTCTTGCCGTTTTTATTTCACCTTGGAACGAATACTATTACTTGAAGTCTCGTTATATTATTCTCGAAACTGCATTTATACGATTTATACAATTTATAGATTTTTATGGCCTTGCCTAATAAATTTTAACTCTCACTGGTTGGCACCGATCAGTGAATTTGGGAAAGCAGGAAGTTCCTAGTGTCATTCGTTCTGCACTCGCGTAAATTCTTATATGGGAAAGAACCTCCCTTCCTCTATCCGTTGCTATGGGAAAGGAACAATTCTTCAACTTAAAACCTTTCCAACATCAAAACTTTTACAACCTTTACTTTTCATTTTCTTTTGACATACACAATTTCTGCTTTTTGAATTACCTTCTTCAATCTAGAGATTGATTCAACGTTGGGTATCACCGTCAATTAACCTCAACTTCTTCAGATCGCGCCAACGTCCATAATCAATATCTCTTCAATTGAAGAGCTCTTATCTTGACAATCAATTTGATCTTCGCATAATTCTCGAGTGTGTTGGATCTTTCTGCCACTTCTTACAGTTACCTACCGCCATATCTGCTTTCAGTGAAGAAAAATATTGACGGATACAGATCGACAAGATGTATTCTGATAAGATTGCAACGTATGCATATTTCGATTTTCATCAATGCAGTTTTATTTGAAGCGTGGCGCTAATTGACAATAGATTCGAATCTCACAATGCCGCCGCGTGGGATGCAGAATCAGAGATAGGCGACGTAGAGAGGGTACCTACTTCGGCAAATAGAACCGGACTCAGACCCGCTGTCGTCCAACAAGAATTGTTTCGTTCTAATCCGGCAAGTCGAGGACGCGATAATGGTGTACGTGGACGTGGGATTAACGGTGGTGTTCGTGGACGTGGTATTGATAGTGGTGTTCGTGGACGCGGGCGTGGAACCGATCGTGGCAGCGGCCGTGATGGCAGCCACCGCGGTGGCGGCGTCACTCGAGGCAACTTGAGTGGTAATGCTAGCCGTGGCGGGCACCATTCCGTTCCTGCTGGACGTGGTAACGGTACTTCACAAAGCTACATATATACTGTCATGATAATACTAACAAATTTCAGGACGATTGGTCGAGAGTGCTCCTCGGAGAGGACACTTTCGCGATGGTACTGGTTCAAGCCATGTACCTTCAATTACTCATCGTGCTGACCACGAACTACCTCGCCGTCCCGTTCTCAAACCACGAGAGCCAGGTGTCAATTCAAACACAGGTTGGGCCAACCCAACTCCTCTGTTGACCGATGCTCGAAAGGTATATCTAGAAAATGAAGCTGCTCTACGCAACAACACCAAGCGTTTCTTGAAAAAGCCCGTTGATGGAGAGCTTTATTCAGCTATTGTAAATCTCAATTCCATTGCTTCAGCTGTTTGTGCACACTGACATTTCATAGGGATTTTACCAGTGGCCAGTGAAGGAGGATAGTCCCGAGGATCTATTTCGTGAACAACTCAAGGACCTTGACCACTTGAAGACTGGTTGGAGAGTTTTTATCGATTGGAATAGTTCACGCAGATGGTTAAGAATCCGTGCACCGCCACCATCCGGCCAGATCGAGGTGACCGAAGTAATTAAAGGTATCAGACAAGCTGTCGAGAGTGCCCGTGCCCGTGCGATCATGGATGCACCTGTTTTTATTGTTGTACCACCTCGACGCTCGACCGAGTCTACTCTCCTTGTAGCACGTGCTGATAAAGTTCCTCGATCCGATGGCCAGAAGCATTTGTATGATCTGGAGTTCTCAAAACAGCCTTCAATTGAGGAATTGAAAAAGCAAAGTGTCTCGCGCTCTTCGAAGGTGGAAGCTAATGTCGAAAAGTTTCGTACGGAATTAAACAAGAATCTAAACGAGCTTAGTCACCTCAAAGACCGGATGCAGATGCGAGTAAACTTTGGAGAACTACATCTCACACACTGGCAGACTGCTTTGACTGATGGCAAGCAAACTTTGGACGGTTTCATGAAGATGATGAAGCGCACAAGAACTAGGGGCGTATTCGAAAAAGGGTAAGTCAGTGGTAGATTTTCAATTGCTTACAAACTAACTCCTATATAGCGTCGATCCTCGAATTGTCAAATGGATGATCAATATTGTGAGAAACAACTCTGCCAAATTTATGGTTTGGAGTGCCACAGACTATAAACTGTCCGACGTAAAGCCAAAGCATATCGCAAAATTCGTCGTACAAAACTCATCCGGGGAAACGTTTACGATCGAGGGAGATATTGACAAGACGGATGGAGGATACCAATGTGGCGCTGTCAAAGTTATTGAGGATGAACGTCGCAATAAGTGCCTGGAAATTGTGACTATCGATATCGAGCAAGTTGATCATATACAAGTTTCTGAATCAACTACTAACAAACACTTATAGGCAAATTGACTGGAACATCGAAATCGTATCCGAGACAGCTGGTACCATGCCCGATGACTCATTCCAAGACTTGGTCGAGAGCTGCTTGCAGCCATTCGTCCGTAGGGGAATGAAATCGCAAGCATTGGAGGAGCGTGTAGACAAGTACGGATTCCCATATCCTAAGATCGCTCCTCGTAGCCAGCCTGGTTTGCGTGTTGATAAGGTCACACTTCAAAGTATCTACAGATTCAAAACTTCCTCTGGTGGTTACTGCCTCGAATTCACCATCAACAGAGACTGGGTTGGTCTTAAAACCACAACTGAGCCCGTGATCTCTGCTGGCGTTGCAATGTTTCACGATCAATGGGACACGGAGATGGAATCAAATGAGCATACCACGGTAGATCGCGCTTGGCAGAGAGACATGAGCAACTTCTTTCCGATCGAAGGATTCAGGGGTTTTATCGAACAACTTGATTACATCCTCGATGGTTTTCACAAGTCAAAATCCCACTTTTCAGACTAATCGATACTGAACACCAAATCAAGTAAAATCATGGTTTTTCCTATTTAAGGTTTACTTGACAACTCTCTTCCAAGGAATCGCCTCTTCAATCTTACTTTTTAAGTTCATTGCATCAACCCTCTCTCATTTCTTCTCGCTACTATCGACGGAGAGGAACTATTATTGGATTTTCACTCGGCCTTAGTCTTAGTCTTGATACACTGCCAACCAATACTCCGCAGTGTATTCCTCGAAATTGGTGGTTTCGTCTTCACCAACACAACTTCCGTGTTATCTCGAACCATTTTGACTCCTACGAGATTATTTGAGATCTGGTTTTGTTTTTTTTTTGGTCCAAAACGCACAGATCTCAAGATGTGGAAGCTGAAGCAGTACCTGCACTTGAGCTGAGAACTTTCTGGCGTAGAACTGTACTTTAGATTAGCATAAACTCAATGATATTGTAACATAACAAAATACGCGTACCATCTTCAACCACCCGTAAACTACCCGACTTATTATTGACTATTATCTCCAAATTCTTCAAGTTGGCCCCAATTTCCTCGACTTTTGCCTCGTAAAACTTGGTAGCATCCTTTGTGCTCTGTAGCATTCCGTTAGCTTTTCGCCAAAGTAGTATGTAGGTTCCTGGAAAGGACGAGGGGATCAAACCTTCTCAACATAAAATCCAGTTCCAACATCCACAATGACATTCTCGGTATCGGCCAATTCTCCAGGGACATAAAGGGATGTGGTGAGGGGTACGAGGATTGGTTGGCCTGTTGTGCACGATGGGTATTAGTAATGTAATGTAATCTATATTGACTTTTGTTGATTGTATCTGCGTCTGCGTCGGCGCCTGCGTCTGCGTCTGTGCCTCAATCCCTGAGAGCTTTCACTGTTGCTGTCGCTGTTGTGTATAGTACAGGTTGTTGCCTCTTCTGCTCTGCTCGGCTCTCCCTGCGTTGATTTCTCTTTCCGAAGAAAATATCCCGTTCTTTGGGAAATGCCAAAGTTTATTCATAATTTTGGTTTGAATGTCTCCTGTTGCCCTTTCCTTCTCTTCTCTTCTCTTCTCTTCTCTTCCCCAGTTGCCATTTATTATACCAGGTACTCCGCTCCTCACCCACCCGATGTATGAAATAAAATCCCCAACCCAAAACCCAAGACCCGTATAACGAATATAACAAAATAAAGAAAAGAAAAAAACATACTCCCAACCTTTTCCCCAACCCCCGTACTGATACTCCTCAGACACTCGCGGAATTTATTTTGCGCAGCGCGCAGTTGTTGGAAGGAGGAGGTGAGATGTTCGAGTTCGTCGTCGAGTTGCTTTTTTACTTGGGTTAGTTGGGGGGTGGTGAGGGTGTTGAGGTCGACTGTTTTGTGGGGGGGTTAGGTTAGTTTTTGGGGGGGTTTGGGGAGAGAAGAAGAGGAAGGGGGGAAGGAGAGAGGAGGGGTGGAGAAACGCACTTTGTTGCCCTTTTTGTGCCATTTTTATATTGGGATACTGTTAATGGGATGGATGGATGGGGGGATTGGATTTGGTGGGGAGAAAGATGTAGATTAAGTATTGTATTGTATTGTATAGTGCGAAAAGCGGATGAGATAGGTAGGTCTGTTGCAGAGCTTCTTCAACTAAGTACCTAGGTATATCGATCGTAGTATAGTGTTGGGTGGTGGAAATGGAAATGGAAATAGATATGGAAATTATTTTGAGGTTCTTGATATCTGGGTTGTGATTAGTCAGCCAGCTGCCCCGCGGTGAAGCTTGATATATGGGTACCCTAGCTATCTACTCATAGATCAACGTCGTTTTTTTTTGGAAATTTCTATTTGGACATGTATCGTATCATTTAGAGTAGAGTTGAATTGATATAATCTTTTGGCTGTTTGCTGTTCCATGTTTAATATTATATTGCTTTTTGTTAATTATTTTTTTGCTATCTGATAACCTTAAGGTTAATAAAGTAGTCAGAATACCGGTACTGGTACTGGCATTTGACTGACGGCTAGCTGCTAGCTTCAAGTGAAGTGACATTGCCCATTAGATTAGCTCGCTGACTTGTTCATGTTTTTCTGAGAAAGTTGCATTCGACTTCGATGTGCCTTGACGAAGTTTAAGTTTCCTTCTGGGTTGTCGTTCTAGATGCGGTAGTTGCACATAAGGTTAACCTTATCTACTCGTAAGATAAATTCTCTCGTTCAGTCTTATCGGATCTCAGTCATATGTCCTCAAGTATATGAGAACATTGAGTCAGGGAAAAGAGAGAAATGAAATAAAAACAGAGTTAGAATGAGAGACTTTTAAACTGTGATGACGAGCGAAAGATAAATATGTAGTGTGGTGTGTTGAAGTAAACATCCATCACAACTAATAACAACCTCCCTCTTCTCTCTCCCTCGCCTTTTTTCCTTTTCTTCTTTCCCGCTTCCCCCTCACTCATCCCATCCCCATCTCGTTCTATCCCGTCCCATCTCTCTCTCAATCCCCACAAAAACATTCACTTCGCTTCCGCCCGAAAGCCAAAAAAAAAGATTCCGCCATTCAAAACCACAAAAGCTTAAGAGCGCGACGCTCTTTAAACCCCAATGATCCGACCAGGCATCTTTGATTCAAGAATGCAAAGCCGTCACTGTCCGAAGCCCTGACAGTGCTAAGTAGAAAGGCGGACAACATTCTCGAGAATGATGAATTCTACCGCTGCGCCATCGAGACGTGTCGGTGCTTGGATGGTTTGACGATATATTGGGGATTATATAGGTGAGGGAAAGGGAAGTAAGCGAGTTGGGTGGGTGTTTGCTTTTAGGCGGTGGGCGGTGGGTTTGTTTGGGGGATGAAATGGGAAATGGGGAATCCAAAATATATTCTATGGCTTGCTTATATGACCTAGTAATGCACTGGATGTTTATATATTTTGGGATAAGATAAATCAATGAGATCTCCGCTCAATATCCGCACTCTTTGCTCTCTGTAATCTTGGGATCTGGTTACATCTTATCTACAACATGTGAAATTTCACTTTTTGGGAGTGGGTACTGGAAGTTTTATTGCTTCCTTGAATGAGTGAGAATCTAGGTATTCTTTCAACTTGATAGTAGAAATTAAGGATTGAAATGAAGAAGGAGAGAGAGGTTCGACTGCTCCATCCTATTGAACTTGTTCTCTACAAAAGTTTCTTCATATTCAAGCTTCGCTTCAACTGGAGATTCAAAGGAATTCAGTTATGTATAATTGTCGACAGACAAATTCTTTGAAATACGACTAATTACAGATATTCTGCTTCTTCTTCTTCTTCTTCTTCTTCTTCTTCTCCAAAACAAATTCCAACTCTCACACCTCCCGATTAAAGGCAAATACTGGATACTGACCAACGCATCTTAAAAACTTTCTCTGGACCCTGAAAATATATGAACAGATTGATTCTTATATTGTGATTTCTGACTCGATATGGCAGTGAGTACTCGAGTACTTACTACATTACATGAAAAATCCCCACATTTCCTCGCAATGACTCAATCCTTCAGAACATATATACCAACGTATAAATAAACTATCAAGTAGCAATCAGAAATAACATTATCTTGAAAACCCTGTCAATTTTCAATTTTCAGATCAAAAGCGAATTAGCATGAAAATCTATATTCAGGTTAGTGACTTGACTAGTAAATCCAAAATTGAATCATATCAAACGTATCCAGGCAACAAACATATATATACGAGTACATATCAAGAGACGTATGCCATTTTTTTAGCTTTGAAACCCAAATTGATTTTAGTATACAATAACAATATACAGTAACAATAAGATACCACTGGCTTGATTCTCATGAACTCACTTCCTAAAACTTCCCTCTTCCTCTCCCTTTCTCTCTCCCTATACCTATCCCTATCCCAGGTACATATTCTAGCACTACGCTACACTACACTACACTACAACCCACCTATATATATACAGAAACCATACTCATCCTCATACTCAAACTCAAACCCATCGAACCCACTCCCGCTTCCACTTCCACCTCACCCTCTACTTCTAGCTCCCCAACCGCCGTAAATATCTATCTATTTAAGTAACTAACTAACTAAGAAAAGACCCCCCCCTTCTCTCCCCCCTCTTTCTCAATTAATATATTAAATCAAACCATAATACTTACATACTAATCCCAATTCTCAATTCCCAAATTTCCACTCACCCACTCAATTTACCCAATCCACAGTACATTACAGTACAATACAATACAGCACTAAGTACTACTCTCTCTACTCTAAAAATAACAAATAAACCATCAAATCTAAATCCAAATCATCAATAAAGAACAAACATCTTGATCATACTGCACTGTACTATACTATACTGTACTATACTTACTATACTGTGGTTTGAAAAACCAAGGCGAGACTGTTGAGTCGATTGACTGATACATGTATATATACAGTGGAAATTCGAATTCGAATTCAAATATGAATTTGAATCAAAGTTCCAATCTAACCTATAATTCATTCCACTTCCTTCCACTTGCATCCACTTCCCCAAACCATCCACTTCCCCAAATCAATTTCTTCCACATCCTCAAAACTCAGTCCCCAAAACTCATTCCTCAAAACCCTGCACCCAAAACCCAAAGCCTAAAAACTCACCCCCAAAGCATACAGCTTCCCTAAAGGCTAAAACACAACTTCATTTATTTCAAAATAAGCCTACGAGTACTGGAAGAAGACGTAATTTTACATATATTTTTCTTGATATAATATGATGCGATATAATGTGATATGGACGCAAACTACGCGAATCGGGGGTGTATCACGTGTCCGGCTTGACCTCGGCTCGAGAAGGCTAAGAAATTATTGCCTAGCGGGGTTATTGATGCCTGAAGCAGGAAGTTTAATCTCGAAGACGAGGCTTTTGATAAAAAGGTCAATAGCAGTCGAAAGCCAATTTCCACTTTTGAAGATACAAGCTGAAAATCTCCCTCACCTCACGTCGAACCACGAATCCTTAAATCGTGATCAAGAGAATCGAGAAGAAACTTTCTACTCTTCAAATCCATAACATCTACCCCCTATCAATTTAAATACTGTGCGCAAGGACGGACCAGCGCAAATACAACGAATACTTTTGAGTGGGATACCCAACTACAACTCGCAACCAATCTACAACGTTCACACCTACGGCTCCACGTTTATACTGCCTACTGGATAGTATTACTGTGAGTATACACAATCGTGTTCTGGAGCAATCTAGAATAGTATTACACATTCAAGCGCGTCCATAAAGATTGCCTGTCCATAAAGACTGCCTACCGGTATTACATGCGGCATTCGACCTTTGCGGATATTGGAACAATCACAATCTTTGCTTCACACCTCTTTCACTCTCACTTAATTGGCAGACCTGCTGTGTTAATCTGAATAATCACTTTCCACGGTATAAACAATAAATATCCAACATCAGGTTGGGTTTGAAATTCAAACCTACTCGCTTGAGGTTATCGAGATACACGCATACAAGATGTCTTCCTCCTCTGGTACTCCAGAATCTTGGATCTCTTCTTTCTGCGCATTATTGGGTCATGAATACTTTGCAGAAATATCGGAAGAATTTATAGAAGATGACTTCAATTTGACAGGTTTACAGACACAGGTAGCTATGTATAAAGAAGCGCTCGAGGTAATTCTATACATGTCTCACGAGGTCTAGCAAATTGCTAATCAGAACCGTACTTTAGATGATATTAGATGTCGAACCAGAAGATGATGAGGACGAGGAAGACGAAGATGAGGATGAAGATGAGGATGCATCTATCGAGGGTGAGGATCGATCAGGACGAAGAGCCGCTGCCGAAAGAAGACACCAACGAATGGCAAGCGATCTCTCAATTATAGAATCCTCGGCAGAAATGCTATACGGTCTAATCCATCAACGATTTATCTGTTCTCGAGCCGGTATGCAACAAATGTCCGAAAAATACGACCTCGCCCATTTTGGCGTCTGTCCAAGAACACATTGCGAACAAGTCCGAACATTACCCGTAGGATTATCTGATGTTCCAGGTGAAGATACTGTTAAACTCTTCTGCCCCTCTTGTCTCGATGTATATGTTCCACCAAATTCCAGGTTTCAAACAGTCGACGGTGCATACTTTGGGCGAACGTTCGGGTCGCTTTTCCTGGTCACTTTCCCCGATTATGATATTAGTAAGAAAGGATTAGAACCGTTAGGAGGACATGGGGCCAGAGGTTTACAGCATGCCAATCATGATGAAGAAAAGGAAAAGATAAACGGCATGAACGCATCGAATCTCGCACCTGGTCTCGGAAAAGGCAAGGTTTACGAACCTAAAATCTATGGATTCAAGGTTTCCGAGAGAGCGAGAAGTGGTCCTCGAATGGCTTGGTTGAGGAAACGACCAGATGAGATTAGGGATTTGGATGAAGCAACTGCATATGCGGTCGAGCATGCCGAGGACAGTGACGAAGGTATTGATGTTGCACCCGGTGGGGCTAGTGCGAGTGCTCGACTCAAACCTCGAAGGAGGAATCCAAAGGCAGCGGCGAATAATCGAGGTAGTCCGATGAGTGTGGAGGCCAATGGGGAGATTTTCTCGTAGCATAAGTCATCTTCATGGAAAATACCGTGAGAGGTGGGCGGATGGGCATTTGGGGTAGCAGTTTTTTTTATCGTTGCGGCGATGAATGGATGATACAGTAGATGGTTCGGCTTTTATGATTATCATATGACTCGCATTTGCGAATCAATCACATACACATATTGGCGGATTGGAGCCCATGGGATTGCTTGCTTAATTGTTTATTACATGTGTGATGAGCGAGCGAGCGAAGAGCGCATCTATCTTTGCATATGGGTGGTTTACTCTGACTTGATGGGTATAATTGAGAGTCAGAATGGGAGGTAGTGGCTAAAGCAGATGGCGGTCGTCGAGAATTGGTTAAATGAAGTGGGGGCAGGACTGGATGAGAAAGAAGAAGGGGAAGGCAAAGGGAGGAGTATATTTGCTACAGGTGCTGGAATGGGATGGGATGGTGTAGGTAGTTCAAGAAGCTCAAGCTCAGATAATCAGTTGATAATCATGATGATTTTATCTCGTGCTTGGATTTTACAGTGTTTCCCCATCTCCCCCTAGTCTTGCTTAATGCTTAATATACAGGTAGATCTCACTCGGTAGAGATTCAAGGAAGACTGTGTGAACAACTGAAGTCTAGATATATGGCTTGGATATATATTTCTTGGTAAGTGGTGTGTTGGGAGTGAGAGAATAGCCGCCGAAGTTTCGAATATGTAAAAAGGTGGTGTGGGGTGGGGGTTCGATGGGAAGCTTTAATGGAGCAATATTAAAGTGCTAGTAGTTCTTGGCCTGGAAAGGCACCTCATCAGGATTACTTATTCCCTCTTCCGAGATATTTCGGTGTCAGTTAATAGCTTCTCTGATTGCCTCTCCGAGTGGAAAACTTGGCTGTTTATTTCAACGTCTGTATTGTGTGTGTATGACGTTGGTCGAATATACAGGAGAACATGCAGAAAGAGCTAGATTAGTGCTCTTAGCTCAGGCCTTTTTTTTTCTACATGATGATTGGAATTTTATATTCTTTTCTTCAGTGGGATTTTGCGGGGTTGAGAGAGGGAAGGGGTGAGAATGGAGGCAAAGGAAAGGGAAAGATGGTTTCGGTACGAGGGGGGGTGGGTGATGTTTTAGGAGGTGGGTAGGTGGGTGTTGCGGATTGGAAATTGAGAAGGCGAATGGGGGTTTTGGAACTTGGAAGTAAGTTTGTTGTGAGAAATCGAAGCACAAATGGTTCAAGAGGTAGGGTAGGGGGATATCGAAAATCATTAGGAGAATTGGTGAAGGGTAGTTGGTCATTGTAATATTGTTCGAGGGTTGCGTTTACTGTTGTCTGTTAAGTAGGTTCGAGTGGTATTTCCGCGGGAGGGAGAGGGGGGTAAAGAGGGGAGGAACACAAAGTGTACATGTGAAAAGTTGCGCAAAGTAAAGTTCTATTGTGCTTATGTATATACAAAAAGCAGAAGACCTTTAATAAATGAAATAGGTTCGAGAAGCTATACTCAGGGCTATGATCTAGTGAGTCATCGACACCTGACTCTTCCTTTGAATAATCAGCCAACACTCCTTACTCTCTGCGGCTCCGATTCCTCAAGCAGACTTCTATCATTTCATAAATGAAATTGATGGGCTTTACAGGATCCCGACCGATAGAATCGGGCCTCGTATCCTGTTCCTATTGATGAGGAAAGTGTAGGTACTGACAAAGTCACTCATAGACACAGGACATTACTTTAGTTGGATAAGTCAGTCAGTCAGTCATGAATCATTGACACCCGTAGTTCGATAGTCTTCAAAGTCTCTCCAATCCCATGGATCTCTAATGGTGATGATGAATCCAATATAATCAAATCTTCATATAACAGAGAACCCTAGAAATACACGAACCTTCTTATTCGCTGGTACTGGCTACCTAGGTATGCTCGAGTATTATACGTGTATAATAGGAAACTTGAGGCTTTTTATCATTCCGTTATATAGCTATCTATACATACATACATCTATACTGAAGCTGTATATCACCCTATATATATATAGCTATATCATAAACTATACTACTAACCCCAACCCTCAGATATCCACTATTCATCACTATGACATAATCAAACATATCCAGATCCAGAGCCACTATTCTATTCTATTCTATTCTATCCCATCACCAATCACCTCCCTCCTCTCCCTTCCCCTCCTAAAGCCATACAATCTCTTCACTCTCCACCAGAACCACAACCACAACATCAACCAACAAAATCAAAACTCCCTCAAACCTCTCCCCTCATATTCATCGCACCCAGCAGTTCCACCCTCGACCTCGACCTCATCATCTCCTCTCTATCACCATATAGCCTTCCAGTGCTACACTAATATCACAACCCCAAAACGCATATATTTTCACCTTAGCTTTCCCCTTTCCGTTTCTGGAAAAGAAGCGAAACTATTGTTCTTTGCACAGAATAAAACTTGGAACCAGAAATCTTGGTCTCTTTCTTGAGGAGGGAAAAGGTGGAGAGAATGGTTGTTAACAGAAATTACTAAGATAAATGTGAAAGCTACATATTGCCGCCCGTTATTGACTAAGAAATGATGGGAGGGTTTTGTGCTACAGCGGGAACATGGTATATAGAGGATGCATGTACTCGAGTATATAAGTCCTAATTCTATCAACCTAGTCTCGCAAAGTCCATCAAATTCAGTTGTGAATTAATTCAATTGCCCTTCTCAGGATTTGTGATTATGCTAAATAGCCGTCTCTATTTTGGGACTAGATACAGAAAGGAATAAAACAGCTCGATCGATATTCTCGAGAGTATATTTTCCTTGAACGCCATCCAAATGCCCTTCCTTTCCATGTTGAACACCCTATCCTATCCCTTCTCTCATCTGACGCCATTATCAATCCATAAATTCCTTAGACCATAACATAACATGCCCCATTCACACTCAAAAACCCACCCCAGCATCCTCATAATGATTGAATAACTTCACCAGTCCCATCGCCACCGCCGCCGCCAAACTCCCCACTACGACCATTTGAATCCCACCAAAACAAGCTTCTCGGATGCATTTCCACCCCCTAAATCCTATTACCGCAGCCGTCTTCACATATCCGAAAATGTATAATGTGATGACCATTATCCCAATCGAGATTAATAATCCCTCATAAACATGGCTTACGAAAAAGTAAGGTAATAAAGGTAATAAACCCCCGAGGAAATATCCAGCCGCAATTGTAGAAGCGGATTGTAGAGCGCGAGATGCGGCAGGTTCCTCTTGGCAGTGTTGGAATTGCATTACAAAGTCAACGAGTTGCGGGGATTGGGAGAGATGATTAGTAACATCTTCGAGAGTGTGTTTGGGGAGATTGTAAGGTTTGAATACTTCGACGAGGTCGGAAATAACTGCTTGAGGATCGGTGGATATTTTCTCTATGGTCTCGTCTCGTATGGCATGATATGATGCACTGTTTGAGATCATTAGCAAATACTCATAGTATAATCTTCAATCAGACGACACGCTCCGCTATCCCTCCGTATACTCTCCCTCCACATTTCATCGAATTGAAGGAGCCAACTCACAGTTCACTATTAGCACCAAGATATCCACCCAAACCCATTGAAATAGCCCCCGCGAACAATTCAGCGATCCCTCCATAAACAACCACCTTCGTACTACCCAAAGCCGATAAACCCGCCGTCAAGGCAAATGGTACCGTCAATCCATCACTCAGACCAATCGTCGCATCCGAAATAACTCTCGCGTCAATTCTCCATCCTTTCCTCTGAGACGACTTCTCCGATCTTGAGTCTTGAGATTCTAAATCTAATGTACTTTCATCATCATCATCGTGGTTCCTCTCAGTGGATGCTGCTGAGTTTGGGTTGATGTTGCCATTTGATGATAGGAGAGGCTGTGTAGATGCAGTGCTAAAATCGAATTTTGGTACTCCTCGTTCCCTATTTAATTGAGGTGATTTAGGAATGAGTGTCTGATAAAAGAAGAGGTTTTTAAGAGCGGCTAGAGACATGGCTTTGATAAATGTACTCAGTAAATGGTATTGTATGACAAGATGAGATGTTGTTGTATTTGTGAGTTGTATTTGTGATGTCATTCAATGAAGATATATCTCCTACAAATTATTATTCCAGAGGAAGAAAGTTGATGGTTTCGATATCGAAGTAGAGTACTAGAATAGGTATTGTTCTAATTCTTGATCATCTTGATTCTCTAATAATTGTTGTTCGTACCTTGATGTATTACTAGTGAATAAGACCATCTTTGGATCTTTATATAAAGTTGTTGCTGACCTACCTTCAATTACCTATCCTTTGATTTGTCGAACGTGGGTAATACATAAAATATGATTGGTCACTTATTATCATATAGGGCGTGGGGTACCTAGTAGGCTAGTGGTTTGTTTCTTTGTACATAGTACACTTATCCTGAAGGAGATAAAAATAAGAAGATATATTAGAGATACAGTATTGATCTACAAAATTTGGTCCAAGACTTTCTCCCAAAGCTTCAGTTTACCGATATCGGTAGGTAATAGGTAAGTACTACTTCTTATATTTTTGATTATTTTCCATTTTGACCTTGACGTTTTTATATCAAGTGCTAATGCATTGATCCGTTAGTGATCCGGAGCTCTAATCACAAATTCGGTATCCGCCATGTTTGGTAATATATGTTTTCTCATTGGCCATCTCAACGGCTTTATTACAATACATGCGATAGGATTGGCTGTCCATCCCACAGGCGTGCAAACGCTCGTTCGGGCTTGTCCAGAACATTTGCATTACAAGAGATGTTACTGTAGGTATGGGTGATACTCCGTATCTCCGAAAAACGGAGATGATGAGGGGCATTGTTTGGATTGCACTTGTAACATGACCGAGGATGAATAATGATGGTAAAAGAGAGAGGAGGGGAATGATATCATTGATTGCTACATTTAGAACCCCCCCTAGATATGATATCTCAATCCCTGTCTAGGAGTCCAGAAGCCTTACTCGCCTCACGGTAGTATAGATAAGGTGCAGCAGACTCGCCACTGAAGAACCGCGACAGCGATGCCTCTCCATATCGATAGCATCTCGCCTATCCTAAGCACCACCTTCTCTCTTAGCATACTCCTCCTCCATCCTCTCCTCGTAAAGTCTGTCGGCCTCTAGTTGAGCCTCGGATTTCTGCGCTGTCTGTGTCGACTGATTGTTTGAGGTATCGGCCGCGGTAGTGGTGTTGGAACCTTCATTGACTGTAGTTGAGGGGGTTTCGGTGAAGGATGGCATTTTTGTATCTTTGAGGATCTTTGAGTATCTTTGAATGACTAGTGATATCGTCTGGTGGTAATTTCTTCTTTTGTAGTAGTAGAGGATGAATTAAGTAGTTGGATGATGGATAGAAAGAATTTATGGTCTCGAAGAGCTTCTTATGTGGCAGATGTGGCGGTGGCTGTGCAATTGTGGCACTGAATCATTAGGTAAGAGTGAGTGAGCTTTTCTTTCCACGTGCTTCTTTTCAAATGACTTGCGATGGAATCAGATCTTGTCCCGATTCCTTCCGCCCGCAAACACGGTTATGTATTATACCACAAGCAGATGAAGAACAACGTCATTTGGTTCTTTTGTCCTGTGAGAGGAGCTTTTAACGTTATATAATTCGACCTGCATTCTCATAGCAAAGGTCGTAGGGGTTTTTACGTTATACATCTATCTCTCTATCTGGCTGGCTCATCGAAAGTTTTTGGTACAAATTATATTTCACTTCTGTGACGGCTGCTCAGACTTCTCGGGCTCCGTCATTCTGGGCTGGATAGCTGGGGACTAGAAGCGACATGACAGGTTAAATTCGGCTGGAGAACTTGACATCGGGTATCAAATGACAGAAGCATCGGTATTCATTTCGAATATGTCAAGTCAGTTCACGAGTTTAGGGAACATAACAAGTACGCATGTTTAGCCGGCGACTACCTCGACTTGTAGTTTGAATCGGTTTGGCAGAAATGGCGTAGCTTTGGATTCTTCTTTTTGAGGAAGATGGTTGTCTTGGTCTCGACATAGCCTTTAGTGTAGTAGCTAGGAGAGGGTTTCATGCCCATCCCAAAATATCGTACCTTTTTGGAATACGAAATATTCCCCGCAAGGTTACTCGAAGTTATCCCCATCTTCAACAGTGTGTTCCGTTTCTTCGAATATCAATTTGTCCCACTTGACAAGCCTATTCTGACCTCGTTTCAGATACACTGCAACGCTATAGCCCCAGATAGATTCGTTAGATCTACCTTCTTCCATGTCCTCTGTAACTGTGAAGCCGCTTCAAGTGATTAAATCTGAGCACTCCCAGCACAGAAATAACTTGCATTATTCCGTACATCTATGTGTACTTTATCTTCTGAGGACAGCTCAGCTACATCCTCATCCGTCATTTCATGCCTCTATATAACATCGAGGGACTACATACCACAAGAACATTCCCGCTTACACTTGATCCGGTCCAGTCTCATCTATTCACTTCTCATTGGAAGATCATCAAGTTTATGGCTGTATTGATCAGTGCTGAGGAGCCTAAAGTCAAGTCGGTCCGCAATATCAGTGGTGGCGTGACTGATGTGCTTCTTGTTTACTCCAGTCTCCAAGCGATGACCTTCAGACACCAATAGAATAGTAACGTCATTCGTGTATAACAGACTAACAGTACAAGTCGCACTTCGTGAACTTTCAGTCTGCATGGGAGAATTGTGTGTGAGATAATCATCGACTTCGCCAAGACGGCCATTATGCAAGACTCGCCCAATTACTTTTACTCTGCTATTCCCTATGATCCGTTCCCTCTGGCCAGCGTTAGCATTATGTAAGACTAAACAAATCACTAGCGTTCCTTTTTTCTTTTTCTTTTCAAGAACTGGAACGAGATACTGGATTGGGTGTGCCTCACTGTCCGTCGTTTGAGGCTGGTTCTTCGATTGGGGGGTGCAACTCATACGTCACGTCAACAAGCCACCTCCATCTAGGCACATATCAGCAACATCACCTAAGTTCTAGACTATCATTACTCAAAAGCCGTTATATTACAGGTGGAATGGGTTCCGTGAAGATTGGGTAGAAGATTCGAAATTCAAAAACTCACAGGCACTTAAATTTTAGTTCATTCGTCAGATCGTGTCGGGGATCAATAAGGACCTGCATGAATCTGGCTACATGGAGGTAGAGCGAATATCAGGAAAACAGAACCTCACTGCTGGGGATTGTTTTTGAGACACGCAGGTAGGAATCAAATCTTTTCATCTGCACGCCTGAAGCATCGGATCGGGAAATGTCATTTTTTGGCTCAGCCGGCGAGCCTTCTGCTATTAGACAAACCGTGCAGGCGTATGCAGGGGGTTAAATCCAAGGTCCTGTGATCCGCCTAGCTCATGCTTCAAAGGACAGGCGGATTCGCAGTCCAGTGTGGATGCCAGTATGAAACTAAAGGAAATCCATGTTACATCAAGTCGTTTTCTTTATGCGATATACATCTACCTCGCTGAGGAGTATCCTCTAAGAAAGGATCTTGACAACTCTCCTCCTGTGTGCAATTTGATGCAGAAACAACCACTAGTTCAGGGGCCATCTGCGAGTAAGTTGTGAGATCAATATCGGTAGCCTCTCATATGATATCGATCCATCTGATATCAGTAGCAGATCCATTGCTTCGCGCAACGCAAGTCTCGTAATTTGATAACATTGTCGTTTATATTTATTTTGTACGTGCCTCCAACCTTCAATGTCTTGATCTGATAAGATGTATTGTCCGACGCTACACAGCCATATCCTTTGCAGCATGACTTGACCGGTTGGCCGGTCTATGAGAAGATGAAGATGCTTGTAATCCGAGACTACCTCACAATGACTAACTGATCAAATCCATCACTCTCACATAGTAAGATGATTGTTCGCGGGCATATGAGTTGCTTTCCATGACCGCACACTATGGTGAAAACATCTGATATGAGTTATTCTCCTGAGCCATGACAATATCAAGTAAAAGCAACAACGCAGTCTCAGAGGCCAAAGACAACGAAGCTCACCATCAACATCCATCCCTCAACCTCGAAACTTTTGATAAGTTCCAGGAAATGATTCACATGAAAGACGGCCTTCGCAGATCTCCTTCCCATTTCTGAGTTATGCTTAGCCATAGCTATGGTTGATCTTATCATGCGCTGAAGTTGTTTAACTTTATGAGGTTCTTGAAGTCATTAGGTAAGTATTTAGATACTATTCCGAAAGAAAGTCGCCTCGAGATCAGAATTTTGATTCCCATTTCATCAACGTTGCCTGGCAGTCTTACAATCCCCTTTTCCTTTTTGAATTCAAGTTCTATAATTGTTATTACCTCATCTAATTACATCCACAAAAAAAAAAAGTAAATATAGTACCGAGTGGCATCAATATAAGCTTTGGTGGTTTAGGTATGGGTTGCTTATTTTGGCATCAATAACATTCTTGCAAAAAGATTTTGATATTAATGGCACCCCTGCAAAAAGATTTTGGCATTCTTTTGGTACTCCCAGCACCCCTGGCACCCTTTGGCACTCCCAGCACTCTCTAGCACTCTTTAGCACCCTTTAGCACTCTCTAATATTATTAAAAAAAAATTGGC